CGTACTGTGGCTCTGCTCGAGCATCTTCAAGCATCCTTTTCGTGCTAATCAGTGCGCCGGGCGGCGGTGGGCCTTTGTCGCTGTATGTTCCGAGCTTGACTTCTCTCGCGTAGCAAAAGTCCTGGACCGAGACGGACCCACGCATAATCTTTTCGCATTGTTTCTGGAAATACGACTTGACCTCGCTCAGGTTCGCCGTCTCAAAGAGAATCTTGAGCGCCTTCTCCTCGATCTTTTGCTCTGCAGGCGTACCGTCTCGTCGGACAGTCTCGATACCTTTTGCATCAAAGTCCGGCTTGACCTGGTCCTTGCTCTCGTATTTGTAGCCCACGTAGCGTTTCTTCGCAAGCAGCACGCATGGGTGGTACACCTTCTCGAACTTAAGTTTGATAGGCCGCGGGTTCATGTCGGTGATGGCCTTGGCGATCTCGTTGCCAATGTCGAAGGCTTGGTCTTTGGTCCGGCCCTTGAGGTAGACAAACAGACTGTCAGTGTCACCGTACACAACTTCAGCCCCCCAGCGCTCTTGTGAGTGGATAAACGCAATGGCTCTTTCCAGCGTTTCTCTTCCTGTTTGCACAATGCTGTCGGCGATTTCGGAGCATGGCATCCGACCAGAGAAGGACGCCGATGTATAACCGTAGGTGACGTTGGCAAGGAGCTTCAGTGCGAGCTGTCGGTTGTTAAGCAATTGCTGCAACGTCTTGTCGTCCTTGTCTTGCTTCATCCCACTCTTCACCATGACTCGAGTTTCCAGGATCTCACCAAGCATCTTTGCGAGCAAAGACTTGCGAATCTCAGGCCTCACATACATCATCCCGTTGGGGGTAATGTTGATGTGGTCTTTCAGGAGCTCCAGAAGTCGCTTGTGTCTCTGATACTCTGTGAATCCCATCTTGTTCATCCCTCTCCAGTTGACAATACGGCCGAGGAAGGTTGAGTAGCAGAGGTTATAAGCGATCATGACGCTGGGATACAGACTTTGGAAGTCGAGCACCAGGAGTGGGCTGTTGTAGAATGCGCTCTGAGGCTCCATAACCAGTGGGAGACACTCAAGTGCATTTTGACCACCGACCTGCTTTCGGCTAGGAGAGACAAGCATGAAGTTCTCGGGTTTGGCGATCCTGAACATGATAGACTCGACCTTGAACTGCGACCCACGGGAGAACACGGAGAAGAAGTCTACTCCCAGCAGTCGGGCCTGCTCACTGGTCCTAGGAATCAGTTCATTTGATTCTAGGATCTGAATGTCAATCCGTGTGCGAACAAGATAGTAGCGCAGCAGCTTATCGAGATCCCGTTGCTTGCTGCTCTTGTACCATTCCGTCAAGGTTCTCCAGGAATAGTGAGGTATGCGGCGGTGGAGCACATGCCACACTACGTTTTCCATGGTGTACTGGAGCAAATTCAGCTCCCCTCGCATGGCTCGCCAGATGTTGATCATATGTCTCCCTGTGACACGAATAGTTGAAGTCGTGTTGAAACCCCAACGATCATTCTCTTTTCCGATTCGGCCATGGGAGTTGCTCTTCATACGAGAAAACTCGTCGCAGAGGTCATAATCGTACTTGAGTCGGGCCCTCTCAATAAGGTAGCCCCATGAACTGCCGTGGACCTCGTAGCCCGTCAAGATATCAGGATCGTGGGCCCTGACAATCTCCACCATGCGGACCATTAGATCCAGCTCAGATGACTCTTCCAAGATTTCTGCTGCGATGTATCGTCTCATCCGCGCAGCAAGCTCACCATCGGGTGAAAGAACGACAACACCAGCAATAATGCCGCCAGCCGCGTTCTGGCTAGCGCTGATCGTGCCGTCTGCCTTGATAGACCAGAAGATGCATTGAACCTCGTCCTCTTCAGGATTCGGGACAAATTTGCCTCTCGTGTTGACATGCACCTCCAAAGCCATGGTACTCATATACTGAGCCTCATGTTTGACGCTCGTTGACTTCCTTTTCGGCGAGTACTTGAAACCATGCTTGTTCTTTGGCGTAGGGCCGTCGATTTGAGAAAGGTAGCGTTTTGAAGCTTGCGGGGTTCCTGCAAGTTTTCCATCGATTTTCTTCGGGCCCTTTTTCGGAGGATGCTTCTTCTCCCACCATTCTTGCACTTCCTCAAATGATGGTGGTGGTTGAGCTATCTCCCAACTTCGGTATGAGCAAATCCTACCTTGCGCCTCATAAGCTTGGTCTGTCTTGGTCCTATCATACGGCGTGTCTGGCTTCATTCCCACACTTGCTGCAGATGTTCCAGACGGATCAAAGTCTGCAAGGTAGGGCAACGTGTTGCTCTCGAGCCGGAACTCCCGACCAGCATATTCTCGTGGCCGAGGAGGGACATCCTTTTCCTCGCCGTAATATGCATCTTGGTAGATCGCATCGGGTATTTGCAAGTCCTTCAAGGATGACGTGATATCCTTGAGAACGGGAGGCAGCGTTCCGATAATGAAATGTCTCTTGTTTGAAAAAGTCCCAAGCGCCGTCTGCGCTCGATGAAGAAGAGTTTCCGTCCCAGTCGAATCTTTGGGCGGACTCGCGATACGGACTTTCTTGGGTGTAGGGTTAGAGTCAAGCTTGGTACCTACGGTATCTGGAGCGAGGTTGAAGGACACGTGCTTCTGGGACTCTTTCTGCTCTTGCTGGGACCCCCGAGGCTGGCTCTTTTGGCTCAGCCGAAGCCTGGTGGTTGGGTCTTCCTGGCTCTTGACTACCGGGAAGGACAATTGTTGATTCGCCATCGGCTTCCCATCAGGGCCTTGAGAAGAGCGGGGGTTGGTTTGGGAGTTGGAAGGAAGCATCACAACCTGTTTCATTTCCGAGTCTCCTTCTGCTGGAAGGCTCGCTTTTGTGGTGACAGGAGGCGCAGAACGTGGTTGTTTTGATGGTTCTGTGGTGTCTGTTCGGGTACGTTTGATTGAAGGCGCCGCTGGATGAGGTGACACTGACCTCTTTGCTGCCACTTTCCGTTGCGTGCTTGAGCGCGCCTCTTCCTTCGATCTGGAAACGAGACCCTCCGCCTCGGCGGCATCAAGCAACTCCTGCCAAACAGGCATTACAGGCGGAGTGCCAGTTTTGAGACTGCTTGTACAGATGCCCTCGTATGGTGGGAGCGAAGGATCTCTCAGGCCCTTCACTGTGGTGTTTGGAGCCTTCACAACATGATCTCCATTGGCCTTATTGCCTGCCACATTTGCTTTCGGCTTTTGACGCCCCGGTCTCTTACTCTCATTTTCAGCAGCCGGGTCTAATTGGTCACCCTTCTTCAGACCAAGTTCGTCCAACTGCATGAGGGCCTCCCCATCAGAATCGACCGGAAAGGGGTCAAAGTCTTCACCGCCTAGTTCAAGAACGCCCTGCTCGTCGACTTCGATACTGCTCGCGGGGTTTTGGTTTGATGGGGCGTGGTTGGAAGGCAAACCTAAGGCGGGCAAGAGGTTGGTCGGGTACAAATCTTCTACAGACTGGAGCGCTGTTTTGACGTTGGATTCCAGGGGTTTATGCTCAACAAAGGTGTCGAAGTCTGGCTCAGAAGTGTCTTCTGGGTCCTTCTCGGCTTCGATGAGCCTAACCACTTCTTCTTGGTACTCCTCTTCGTGAATCCATCCTTGCGGCTGCGAGTCGCGTGCATTTGCTGACATCGAGATCAGAACTTCAGCTGGAAAGGGACTGCTGCCAGGGTCTGCGTTTGGCATCTTCAACTTCCGCCGGCGAGTCTCATCCTTCCAAAGCCCTGCCATGCTGTAGACCAATTTGACATCCGCAGGAAGTGGCTTCACCCGCTCCACAAAGTCATGATGTAGCCTGCGTTCTTTCACCATCCGGCGGTTGATGATATTTTGCACGCAAATATCAACTTCGACAGAGCAATGACTGACCCTGGGCAAGCTCAAGTCCTCCAGCACACGGCCTCTTGGGATGGAATGGTCGTGCCAGAGGTGCTGGGAGTTTCCTTCCACATCGTAAGACGGTATTGGGCCTCTGAAGAAGACATCGGACGCATCCAGATACCCGCAGCCGTACAGGTTGTAGTCTGTCATGAACTGCAACAAGTACTGAAGGTGCGCTTCGTAAGGCTGGAACTTCTTCTTCAGAATGACACCCTGTTGAAGCAAGTCGGCCAGCCTTGTCATGACGATCGGGTTGAACATGTAGATCTTGAGAAAGAATCTGTAACCGACATGAAAGCCGTAGAAGGGAACACCCTTCACAAGGGTGATTCGCGCCACGAACTTGGCATTATCTGCATATTGATCACGCCGATAGCTGACAGCCAGGGCATGATCAATGGAAAGATGAAGGCGATATATGTACGCTCCCACTGTACACTTGATGAGATTGTGATATGAAACAAACCGGAGAAAATACACTTACCATCCTCTGGCTCCAAGCTGCCTTGATACTCGACGTACAAGTACGGGAAAGCCCCATGTATATGAGCGCATACTTTCTGGCCAGTTTCCGTTGAACCAAAAACTCTAACGACCGGGACCTTGGGGCCCTTCTTGGCTTGTGCAGGGCCTATGTCATTGCGAAGCTGGGGGTCGTAACGTGTTGGTGTCGCCTGGTAGTGGTCGATGCAGTTCAACCTCACCCTGAACAGGTCCATCGTGGCTGCGAGCGAGACTCATGGAGGATGAGAGGAGGCGGAACCGACAGAAATCATGGTAAGCAGGCACCGAACATGCTGGAGCACATACTGAGGGCGTTTGTCTCCTTTGGGAAGCTCAGCGGCGACGCGACCTAGTCGTGTTGTTGCCGATGGGAAGCGCGTCACTAACGCCTGGGATGAGCGGTGTCACGTGGCGATAAGATTGGAACCAGCCACAATCTAATATCTCAGCCACGCTTTCGGATTTGCTCAAGCTCGGCCTCACTTTCGTCGCGTTCGCCATTTACCTCGTCAAACTTGCCTACCTATTTCTTTGCGAGGTGCGCTCGGCATATCTCGTCCCCCCTTCCCGACCAAGCAGAACGACGCACTCCTGTTCAAAAGCCAAGATGCCTCCACCACCCCCCCGGAAACCCGACCCGAAGGCCTCAGGCGCCGCTTCAAAGGAAGAGAACATCTACATCCCCTCTTTCATCAGTAAAAGGCCGTTCTACGCCGGCGAAGAAGGCGACCAGACCGATTATCTCGAGCATCAGCGTCTCCAAAACAAGAAAAATGATCAGTCAAAATGGTACGATCGTGGCAGGAAGGCTGGTCCGGCTGCGACCAAGTACCGCAAGGGCGCTTGCGAGAACTGCGGCGCCATGACACACAAAGCCAAAGACTGCCTCAGCAGACCGCGCGCGAAAGGCGCAAAGTGGACTGGCAAGGATATCCAAGCAGATGAAGTCATTCAAGACGTCAACCTCGGCTGGGACGCCAAGCGAGACCGCTGGAACGGATATGACCCCAAGGAGTACCGGAATGTCGTGGAAGAATTCAACGAGATGGAGGCGCTGAGAAAGAAGGCACTCAAGAAGGGCGACGCTGAGGACGAAGATGACGGCGACAAGTACGCAGAAGAGAACGATATGAGCAAGCACCAGAGTACTGCTACGCGCCAGCTCAGAATACGAGAGGACACCGCCAAGTATCTCGTCAACTTGGACCTGGATTCGGCTAAATACGACCCGAAGACGCGATCCTTGGTGGACGGAGGTGCGACTGCGGACAAAGCGGCAAATCTCTTCGCGGAGGAGGGCTTCATGCGCGGCTCGGGCGATGCCAACGAGTTTGAAAAGGCTCAAAAGTATGCCTGGGAAGCGCAGGAGAAGAGTGGTGACACCACGCAGCATTTGCAAGCGAACCCTACCGCCGGAGAGTTTTATCGCAAAAAAGAGAAGGAGGAGGCAGAGAAGAAGCGCGCGGAGAGGGAGAAGAAGCTCAAGGACATGTACGGCGACACTTCGCAGTACACGATGCCTGAAGAGATGAAGAACCTCATCACTGAGTCGGAGCAGTACGTTGAGTATGACGAGAGCGGCCTCATCAAGGGTGCGCCGAAGGTTATCGCGAAGTCCAAGTACCCCGAGGACGTCTACATCCACAACCACACCTCCATCTGGGGAAGTTGGTGGTCTAACTTTCAATGGGGTTACGCTTGTTGTCACTCGGTAGTCAAGAACAGCTATTGCACGGGCGAGGAAGGCAAACAGGCATGGGAAGCTTCGGAACGCCAGCGAACTGGCCTTGCCTTGGCTGCTCAGGAGGAGGCTCCTGAGGCTCCCAAGGAGGAAGAGAAGCAGGAGATCCCTCCTGAGAAGGTGGCAAAGAAGCGAACGGTGGAGGAGATGATGGGAGGTGTATCAGAAGCCGAGATGGAAGAGTACAGGAGAAAACGGACGGCAGCAAACGATCCGATGGCAAAGTTCCTGGGCAAGGATGAATTGGTTTAGACTATCGAGGCATTGCATTGGACAAATATGATACCCATTCCCTTCATCACTGGCGTGCAAGGGTGAACTGTGTTTCCTGAACAAAATCGACTTTTCTGTAACATTCATTCGTGGTATCCCGTATTTGATGCAATCATTCCATTTTGCCTCTGGCGAACGCCGTGACTATGAACACCCCAATTCCCACATGGTTGGTTTTGTTTTCCAGCCAGTCCCAGAGCTTTTGTTGACCTATCCTTAGCCTAAATGGTGGCGTTGCATTTACTCCTCATCCTCCTCCTCATCACCACCGTCGGCCTTCTCGGCGGCGGCGGCCTTCTTTCTGCGGACACGGCCGGGGCGGCCACCGCCGAAGGGCGAGGTAAGGGCGAAGTCAATGTGCTTCTGGGAGTCGAGACGGACGATGAAGGAAGGAACGTTGACGATCTGCTTGCCGACACGGATGTGGCGCTGGCGGATGAGAACGCGGGCGTGGTGGATGGACTTGGCGAGGCCGAGCTTGTAGACGCAAGTCTGGAGGCGACGCTCAAGGAAATCCTCGACCTTCAGGGCAAGGACGTAATCGAGCTTCATGCGGGACTCGTCGAGGACACCGACACGCACGAGACGGCGAATCAGAGCGTTACCCTCGAAGAGGCGCTTGGGGTCCTTCTCGTCAAGGGTCAAGAGCTGACTGTGATGGGTGTTAGCAAAAATCGTGCCCCTCCCACACCAAAGGCGCAAACATGTGTTCACATGCGCAACCAACAAGAGGAACACATACCGGGCAGCACGACGGATCTTGGAGAGGGTAAGCTGGACGCGCCAGACCTCACGCTTGTTGCGGAGACCGTACTCGCCCACGAGCTTAAGCTCGGAGTCCCTGTCATGTCGAAGTCAGTTTTCGGAATTCGCGACGTAAACCGAGCAAGCTCAAGTTCAGTGGCCGGAGAATACTGACAATCGGGCGGCCTCGAAGGGGCGACGGGGGACCTTGGAGGTCTTGGAGTAAGTGAGACTGTTGCGCAGTCATCGTCAGCAAGTCGAATTGCAATGCGCCATCACCATCGCCAGCAACTTACGGAGCCATCTTGCCGACCCGTCGATTTTCCTCGTTGTCGTTGTCGTTCGATACACGAAGAAAAAAAAAGTGTCAAGGCAGACAGTAAAATGCAAAGGTGGGCAAGAAAGGCGTGGGACAGGGCTCGCTTGTGGTGGAGACGCCCTGCGCTGGCCTTGCCCAATTGGGGATGGCGGGTCACGTGGCAGACCCAGGTGCCCTAAGGAAAGTGCGACCCCCCCCCTCGGGAAACAGCTCCCACACGACGGCTGCCGAATGCGAAATTTTGCCTGGAGTTTTTTTTTCGCGATCTCCCCAGGACCTCGACGACAACTAACCATCACCAACCGCCCTTAACGACAAAACACCGGCAAAATGGGTCACCCAGCGGGTCTTCGCGCGGGAACGCGCGTATGTCTAACGATTCCAACGAATTTTCGAGATTGCGGGCGGATTGCTGACGGTTCGTTTGCAGTATGCGTTCTCCAGAAACTTCCGTGAGAAGGGTATGATCAAGCTCTCCACGTACCTCCGCGAGTACCGCGTTGGCGACATTGTCGACATTAAGGCGAACGGTGCCGTCCAGAAGGGGTAAGCAATGAACCCGTCCGACCTGGGAATTACAATGGCACGACACACGGCGCAATCGAGGAAACCTTGAAGTTAGCCGAAATTGTGGCCGTGTGTGTGTTGTGTGTGGTGTCAAGGGTCTTGTGTGTCTTTGTGTGTGCGCAAAACAGGAGACTGACAGGACGGGTCTGCAGTATGCCTCACAAGGTCTACCACGGCAAGACTGGTGTCATCTACAACGTCACCAAGTCCGCCGTCGGTGTCATCATCTACAAGAAGGTCAAGCACCGCTACATCGAGAAGCGCATCAACCTCCGCATCGAGCACATCCACCCCTCCCGCTCCAGAGACGACTTCCTCCGCCGCGTTAAGGAGAACGCTGCCCTGAAGAAGAAGGCCCAGGCCGAGGGCAAGCCCGTCCAGCTCAAGCGTCTCCCCGCCCTCCCCCGCGAGGCCCGCACCGTCTCCTTCAAGGAGAACAAGCCCGAGACCGTCACCCCCCTTCCTTACGAGACGACGATTTAAGAGTGTCTTTGTGGGGGGTTTGGCAGTTCTTCTTTTGCATGGGGTGTTTACGTGAGGAACGGAAAGAATTCTAGCATGGAAAGGCATCACGTTTTCGGCAACGTCCATAGGGAATGGAAAAAAGAAACCAATGACACTTCTTCGTCTGCCCTTACGCCGAAATGCTACCCGTGAGACCCGTTGGCCCCTCTGCGACCTTGCCGCCGTGCCTCGGGGTCGTCCCTCTGGGTCGGGAGCGCGGTACAGGTCCGGTGTCTGGGTGTTTTGTGTTATTGAGGAAACCACTGTCAATCCAGTGCGCCTGTTTGGTTGACAGGCAGAATAGATGGCCCAGGTCCTCCGCCGGGCTTCATGATACCCTCGATCAATGGAAGAACATGACCTTGCGTGTTGGATGCAATCATTGAAGTGTGATGACAAAGCACGAAGCTTCCCTTGCCATCCTTGAAATCCCATCGGATCCTCTTCGTCTGGGTTTGTCATTCTCTTATTCTCTCAGCGCTACTCCCGTACCCGTTACAGTACCAATCAACAAGGTTCGGGGCCGGCATTGCATGAGTAACGGCCAAAATTGTTCCATCACAAGCTAATAACTGCCCAGCATATGGAAACAACCAATTGGCTCCGGGTCTGGTCTGGGAAAGAATTCAATGCACTTGGGCAACTCACTTGAAACCCGCCGTCGATGCGAGGGGCGATTCCTGGTGCATCCGCATATGCACTGTAGCTGAGTTTATCCCCTTGACTACAGTCATTAGTTTGTTCTTGATACATGCAATGCGCTGTTGTAACCGTGTGTCGAAGGAACGGCTGCACAAAAGCTTCCACAATCGCTTGCATGTCTTCTGTCTCATTCCAACTGTAGTTCATCACTTCGCTTGACAGGATTGTCGAGATACACATCTTCAAGAATCTGTCAGTGTGCATCGCAATTAGAAGTCCGGGCAGTGCCGCAGGGACCTCTTGGGGCCAACTTTGATCGTTTTACCCCACCATTATCGTCATCAGATCAGGCATCTGTCCGGACCTTAGGTACCTGGCCCCTCTGTGGCAGTGGTAAAGTGACAGCCCGTGTCACTGACATTTGCCCCGGATTAGCGTTGTTCCATGGCTTTATGCCCAACCCGACTGGAGCCGAGCCGAATCGCAACCTACGGGGTCGTCTTGGCGCTACTATCGCCGGAGCTTGCGCATGTTGCAGAACCCAGCCACACTCGAGCTGCCAAACGTTCTAGAGCTTTGTCACCGCTGACGACTCTTCCCGCCTCTCTCTCCCTCTCGGCACGGAAGTCGCTGACGATTTCTTTTCACGATTCTCTCGTTAATCGCTGCTTCCTGTAGTCTGGTCCCCTGCGACCGTCAGGCAGCATTGCACGTGGAGCTGTCTCCTTTTAAACGTTTGGGAGACGTCATATCCTCGGACCATTTCGATTAGAACACCAGCGTCAACCACCCCCCTCACGAGTTCCGCCCTCGCGCGCGTACGAAACCGACAAGATGGCTGCCGTGCCTGATACCAGACATACCAAGTCCGTCATTTTCCTCCATCATCAGCTCAATGCCTGGCTTGATTTCGCGGTGACGGTGCACTGACACTTCTTCAGGACCGACCAGGAGTTGGCGATCAACATTAAGAAGGCCACGAACCCCGACGAGACTGCGCCGAAGAGAAAACATGTCCGAAGCTGCATTGTTTACACATGGGACCATCGCTCTTCCCAGGCCTTCTGGGCCGGGATCAAGGTGTAGGTGAATGCGCTCGTAACGAAAAGGCAAACGCTAACAATGCTGCTCTGCAGCCAGCCTATTCTCGCTGATGAAGTCCAGACGTTCAAGGCTCTGATTACCTTGCACAAAGTCCTCCAAGAAGGACACCCTAACACCTTGAGGGAAGCCATGGCGCAGAGAGGGTGGATTGATAGCTTGAACCGCGGGATGGGCGGAGAGGGCGTGCGAGGATACGGACCCCTGATCCGTGAATATGTGTACTATCTCCTGGCCAAGCTTTCTTTCCACCAGCAGCACCCGGAATTCAACGGCACCTTCGAGTACGAAGAATATCTCAGTCTGAAGGCCATCAACGATCCTAACGAAGGTTACGAGACGATCACCGACCTGATGACCCTCCAGGACAAGATTGAGCAGTTCCAGAAGCTGATCTTCTCGCACTTCCGCCACGTCGGAAACAATGAGTGTCGTATTTCTGCTCTTGTGCCTTTGGTGCAAGAGAGCTACGGTATTTACAAGTTCATCACGAGCATGCTGCGCGCCATGCACTCCAGTGAGTCCCGCAATCCCTTTCTGTTTGAAGCGATGACCGATCGGACTGACTTTCGTAGCAACCGGCGACGCTGATGTGCTCCAACCCCTGCGCGAAAGATACGATGCTCAACACTACCGTCTCGTCAAGTTTTACTATGAATGCTCAAACCTCCGATACCTGACCAGCTTGATTACGATTCCTAAGCTGCCGCAGGATCCGCCTAATCTGCTGGCGGAGGACGATGAGGCGCCCGCGCTGCCCGCCCGACCGAAACAGGAGATCGAAAGACGCCCGACACCGCCGCCTGAGCCGAAGTCGCAAGAGCCAGATGATATCTCTGAGTTCTGGAAGAATGAGCTCGAGCGTCAAAACCGCGAATATGAGGAGCAGCAGAGGGTGTTGGAGGAGCAGGCACGACAGCAGCAGGCTATGCAATTGGCGGCACAGGAGCAAGCGCAGCGCGACTTCGAGGAGCAGCAGCGTAGGTTGGCTGAACAGCAGCGCCGCGAACAGGAGGCGCTCATGCAGCAGCAGCTCCAATACCAGACGCAGGGTAGACTTGCGGAGCTGGAGCAGGAGAACTTCAATGCCAGAGCTCAGTAT